CACCTACTATATACCCTTGTTGTACCCTTAAGGGTCCCTAGAAAGGCCTAAGGGTCCATATTAGGGGCCCGTACTTCTAACTTTCCTTAGGAACCCGTGGGGGCAAAAAAAAAGGAATGTCTTGACATGACCAAAAAATTTGGCACCTCAGGAAAAAAACGGAGGATGGCAGAAACTGGGTTTATGACTATACCACGAAAAAACATGTGACACGCATGGCACTCGCACCAGAAAGCGCTATCTCCGAATTGAAAACTGAAACGTCGAGCGCTGGAAAACGTAACCTCGAATTTGTTCGTGTCCTTGATCCACTGGAAGTGTTGAGGGTTTATGGCTTATGAAATATCTTCCGAGGTTCAGGGCTTGGGGTGTCTATGAAGCCCGCCTAAACTCCCAAAACTCCCTTTACAAACCCTATACAATCCCCAAGTCCCATAACCCTTACTCGCAAGCCTCGGTGGTATCCGCCGCCATCAAGCAGCTTCAAAGCCCAAACCGATCAAGAAAAACCCTATACTCGCGAGTCTCCTTTTTGCACAGCATCATCGTCAGATCCTTTCTTGAGCAAGAACTGAGACGGGGAGGGCTTCGCATTGTACAGGTTTGAATTGACCCCAAACCACATATAAGCCCATATATATATATATATATAGAAATATATACATATATATATATATATATATCCTATCCTATACCCTAAATAAGCATCCGAAATCTTGCACCGACTACTTACATCCTTGCCTCAAGCATGCCCAGTGCATGCGGCCAGGAGCCAGCACTACAGCATTACCAATCTTCCTTACAAGGTGTAGGGCTATATTTAGGACTTATAGTTTAGGGTTTTAATGATCTCACGTATGGCAACACTGGCGCCGCTGCTGCCGCAAAACTTCGCTACTCGACCGCACATTGTCAGCTTCCAGCATGCCATGCTTTGGGAGCACTGAGGGGATCCAGTCTAAATTCATATAGTGCTGATTGACCGCAATGACAAGTTGTTGAAGGTTCAGGATTTAGGGTTCAGGGTTACAGGGTTTAGGGTTTAGTGTTTAGGATTTAGGGTTTAGGGTTTTACGGCTTGTAAGGCTTATAAGGTTCATATGGTTTAGGGTACTATAGTGAGTGTTCGGCAGAACCTAGCATGACCACCTTGCAAAGCTAGCTTGTTCAAAGTCAATACTAGATATATATCCCAAAGGAAACCTCTAAAATAATTTGGTGCCAACGAGATTACAAGTTTGGGCTTCTCACAGTTGAACATGCAAGCAGGAAGCTAAACGCCAGCTCTTGTGAAGAGGAGCTTCGTAGCTACTAAGTAGCGGTCGATCACCCGTTCGCCACACTTTTTCGGAGAAACTCGGCGCGATAATCTGCTGAGCCTTCCTACAAAGTCTTCGTTACTCTCGCAGTTCCAGATTGACGCGCTGAGTGTATAAGGGTGGTTCTCCGATACTTGAATGTGTAGCTCCCATAGCGTGTGGTGGAAATAGTGACATTTGGGCCGCATGCTAAACAAACGATAACCATGGTCTAGGGAATGCGCAGCTAGGTAGTGGTAGCCTCTCAAAAGTTTGAGACCACTACGATGCATGAAGCTAGCACAACACCGGGTGAGGAAAAGCGGGTGGCTGTGTAAAACCCCCAGGAAGTCAAGTCCGCCACGGATCGTTTGATTCATTGCCTGCAGCACAACTTCATGGCTTGGGTGGCACAACGACTGCAAACACTGAAGCACAAAGAAGTCTAAAAACATCATAACCAAGACCGTGTCCGAGCCCTTCCCACCGAGCCACGGAAAATTCCAAGACTTCTTGCGGTGTAGGTTGGAAGGGGTGAATCGCTTGATCGTGGAACACTTGCCTTCGGCCATGCACCACATTGTAAAAAGACTGTGCGCCCGGTCCAGGCGCGCCTCTATGGACCTGGACTCCCTTCCCTCGAAATCGTAGTAGCCCAGCCAGCTTAACAAGAACAGGATGCTGCCACAAAGGTCCCGGGCAAACCCATACTTCAACATATGGAAGCAATCTCGTTTGTACAAGCTTGCCTTGCGACTGCTTGCATAAGGGGCCAGGTTCAATGGAGGTTCTGCAGTCCACGGATCGTCTTTGTACAAGCTATCAACCCACTTCGGCCGATCTGACATGTCTGTTGGCGGGTATTCCGCACGACCTGCCCAGCACTCTGGGCACATTTCGCGGTCGTGAACCCGGCCTTCGTTAAGGTAGGTTCGGTCAAAGGATCCAGCATCCAGCTGGAGAAACTCGAAGTCCCCCTTGCATCCGATAAATGCTGCTCTATAAGTGACCCCATCTCGGTCTTGGATGCCGTTGAAAAACAGAGATTGCAGGTTCTGAGCCACTTCCGTAAGCAGAGTGGGCACGATGGCATCATTCTGCGACAACACCTTCTTTGGTATACATGCCACCAAGTACCGGGAAAACAAAGAGTTACCCTTGCCATTGTGCCCCATTGCTTCAAGCAAAGGAGTCTCAGCAGAGCCAACGCTGCAGTGCCCTTCAGGGACTGCAGGTTCGTGCAATCCACAGGCGGCAGCCCTTTGGGAGCACGTCCAAGCCAGTCGGCCACCGTAGACTTTCTTTTTTTGATCAGTGATCTCACGTTTTGACTTGGATCCTGCTCGCCTGAACTTCTCTGGAAGAGCAAGAACTGTTTCCCAATCAAAGATAAATACCGGTGACTTCTGATAGCCACGCCCCTTATCACCGTGGAAGGCGATCGGTAGTATCCTTCGGCGTTCCTCGCGCGAGTAACGCTCGAACACCATGTGTGTAGGATGGTAGTACTGAAACCGCTCCCAGAAAAGATCACACAGGCTTTCTGCCTCTGGCCCCTTCAGTAGGCCACCGAAAAGGAGTCGAGGATGCTGGTTCAAAAGTAATCGAAACATGTCAGTTAGCTTCAGGAAACTGATGTCTACAGGGTCTGCATCTGTGTCTCCAGCATCCACACGAAGCGTCGAGGTAGGAACGTTGTGTCTCAGCCCATGCCGCCGAAACAAACGTTGGCTGTCCCTTTCCCCGTGACTCTCATGTACTCTTGCTGCCTGTGCAACCGAGGGCTGCCCGCTGCAGCTTGGCTGGAAAGCTCTGGCTAAACGGCCGATCTCACACGCAGGAGCCTGGGCATGCATGGGGCGTGGCTTCGGCTGATTGTAACTTATATATATATATATATATATATATACATATGTATCTATATAT